AAAAAATTTAAAAAATACATAAAAACTCCGATTGGGCACGCGTAATTGGGGGCGGCTAAATCGCGGCTGCTTATAGTGTTCAGGCAACCCTTTCTTTCCCGTTTCCGCAGGGCCAGCTGTCGCGAGATCCATGCTCTCAGTTACACACACACACACACACACTGTCTCCTCTATCTGTATTACCTAATACATCTGCCGCGTCTTCCTGTTCTCTGTGTGTCATGCGCGCGCGCGTGTGTACTTCCGTTAATGCGGATAATTTGAGGTTGGAAAGAACGAGGAAGTGACAGCCAATGTCAGCACCGGATGTACTAAATCGTGCCTGTTCCTCGTCGCAACTTACTTCCGCATCGCCAGGCATCCATCCCTACACGAAGTTCAGGAACCCTTTTAAATTTCATCCCTCTTCCGGTTTCCGCGCTAGAGAAGTGCTTAATTTATTTACTGAATTGTTCCGTGCGCTGCAGTTTCGTGCAGGATCGGTTTTGTGCGACCGATTTGATCGCGCGAATGTCCCCACTTGCCAATTTATCTTTTCATTTTTGTATTTTTTTTCCTAAATAGTGGCAGCTTTTGTGAGATACTCGCCGCGGGGGTCTTGTGGTTATGGGGCTCCACCGTTGATCCGGCGATCGCGGGATCGTATCTTTGCCGCGTTTTATATGGAAGCTAAAATGCTCGACGCTTATGTTTAGGTGCACGTTGAAGAAATCGAGCTGGTCGAAAATTCTGGTGCCCTCCACTACACCGTCACTTATAATCATATGTAAATGTTGGGGACGTGCTTGAAATTTCCGGAGCCCTCTGTTGTACGACGTCTCTCGTAATCATGTGTTGCGGTTTCGAGACGTAAAACCCCAACAAATGTTACTACAGCTTTTGTGAGATCATAACGACAGACTATTTTGGCGGCATGTTTGTCGGTGTAGAGCAGCATTAGAACCCATGTCCTCTGCGTAGTAGTCGAGTGTTCTATACCACACAGCCACGCTCCCCCTTCAAACTCCATTCGCAAAAGAATCCTGCACAGACCTTCAAGTCGGGGCAGGGAATCGTGTTAGCAGGTGTAACATAGCGTGATTCAAGGTCAGAAACTTTGGAGGACGCTTTATAGCTTCGCCTTCGAGAGTAGAACGCGATTTCGTAATCGGGCGCTAGTGTGCACATCGCCTTCTCAATTGGTGTACCTTGGCTTCCGTTCTCGGTGCTTGCTTAAACCGTGCCGCGAAAGGCGCCGCCTATGAGCGCCTACACTTTTCAAGCTGTCCTTATAGAATGCCTACTGCAAGTGCGCGAAGTCAGAATTCGAATAGAATATGCCTACCTCGAGCGTTCGGAACGTAAGACGTTCGCGTCATTGTTCAATTTTGTGAGCGTGCTTGCGTGCGGTGAGATTGATTAGATCAACATTGTGAACACGTTGCAGTCGTTCAAACCTCGAGTTGACCTGTGTAAGTGGCAGACCAGTTGAATACAGTTTTTATTCCGATTGTTAAATTTAAGGCCAAGTGTAACTCTTTTTGTCCCCCCTCCCCCCTCCCACACACCTTTTTTCCCGACTTTTGGGTGCTAAGTTCTACTTCTACATATATAGTGGCGCTTCATTGCTTTAATAACCTCTTCTAATCTACTACGTTCGCGGTACAGTGGTTTATTTTCTTTTTATTCTGCTAAAATAAGAAGGGACGCAAATAGGCAGTCTTTTTTGCAATGCACATGAGTTGAGTGGCGAAGCAAGTTTTAAAGTGCTCACACGCTACCTTGTGGTGGCACTCTACCTATTTAGCTTGTTCGTGTTTCTTTATTTTTTAATGGGGGGGGGGGAGTGGTGGGCATGTCGCTTGTACCGTACTTCTTACTACGTGCTTTACGGATGACGTCATCGCATGCAAGTGCGGTTTTCGCCTATGTAGTGCATGTGCGCTTGCAGTGTTAATGCATTCGGGAACGGCTTTCTTGAGTGAGAAAATATGGAGCAGTGTTCTTTCTTTTCCCAGCGGCACCCCGAGCATTGTGAAAACGCCTATTTAATTTTGTGACGCTCCTTTCCCGTCTAAGTTTTGTTATATACAAATATTTTTTTCTAACGTGTTTTTCATTCACTATAGCGGATATAACGCGCGAGCCTTGCCTAAACTGTCTTAAGTGGCTCGAAGTGGTGGCGTGAATTTCCAACTCGCGTAGTAAACCTATTTATATGCGCACTCCATTCTCTCATTTAACGTCGTCTGCTTTGTACCGCCACGTATGGGCATCAGCAATTAGAAGTCGTCTGCTGCTGCCTTTCTGCTTGTCGTCTCTGCTTCTTGGATGCCGCACGTCTGCTGCTCTTTGACTCTACCTCTGCTTGTCGTCTGTTTCTTCTATGCCATGTCTCTTGCGTTTCTTTCCTGCTGACACCGCACGCGTTCGGACGTGTGTCGTCTGCTAGTTTTCCTCTTTGGCGCGTCTGCTTATTCTTGTCGCCTGCTTCTCCCGAACAACACCGATTCCATTGTCTTTCTGCTGCTTTTCCGGCGCGTCTATGACGAACTTTTGGGTGCCGGTACTTACGTCAGAAACCCGTACCTCTCCAGTGGTGTCGTCTGCTGCTTTTCTTTCCGTTTTATCGCCCCTTTTCGACCAAAATTTGCATTGAATGGGTAGGCAGGCGCGTGTGCGTAGTGTATAGCTTCCCGGCCGCGTTTTGAGGAAGCGTGGTAAACACGACGCGACGAGCTATCTCCCTTTAGGTTCTCGGTGGTGTTAGGACTAAAGTGTGAGGTCGGGGTGGCCATGAGGTAACGTGGACTAACGTTTGGAATTTGAGCGCACTATTCGTACGTTCCAGCACACTTGCCTTTTATTCGCTTCGGGGATAGTGACGACATTCCGTGGTTTGTGAGAATACGCTGAGAATAAGTGTTCGAGGTAGCATTGCTTAGCGTGTGTAATTGAAGTACGGTATACGCGCGTTGCTGCATTCGCTTTCCTTTCAGACAAGTCATTCGGTGGTGCAGAGGAATGCGTTGGCTGTCTGTGCCGCTATACGTCTTGTTCATGGGACCCCCCACCCCACTCACCCCGTTGTATTTATCTTGATTTCAGTTGTTATATTGGTGAAATCTGTCCTTGGAAGCTGTGCTTTTAGATACCACGGGAAAAGTAAGCAGTATATAGACATTCAAATCAGCGAATAACCAGTACCGAAATTCAGTCTTCTAATTTCAGGAGTGGCCGCACTTTCTGTACGAGACACATTCCTTAGGCTTAAAAGAAGGCGTTCTTTTTTCCGAAACAAGATTAGTGTTAAATGCGCCGGGTATGTCTCACTTTGGTGCTCTTTCGCAGTGCCGTACTCTTGAATTAGTTGAGGAACCATCGTTTCCATGTTGAATTAAGCTATCCATGTTGTCATTGCAGTAGTAATAGTTTGGAAGTTTGTAACAAGCCTTAGTGGAAGCATCGTTTCCAGCGTGAATTAAGCTTTCTGTGTAGTCATTGCAGTGCTGATAGCATAAAAGCTCCTCATCTTCCGTGTCATTTTGCCTTCATTCGAGAAAAGGCTTCACATGCAATGCCGCCACTCTGTCAAAAAAAAAAAAAAAAGGAGAGAGAGATTTGGCCGAGAGCAGTATAATTGTGCTGAGATCCTACATAGTGTTGCAGGCAAATGTATCCGCTGTTGCTGACAGCAGCAGATATCCAGTATTGGGTAACTTGCGACTAAAATGCACTCGCGGGTTACGGGAACTGATCGGTCCGAATGCCTTCTTCCTCGCGTACAAGTAGCAGGAGCTCGGCCACGCGGGCGCAGCTCAGACCTACGCACCACGTCCTCTCACCGCGGCGTCAAAGCACCGACTGCCCGGCTCACGCGCGCACTCTGTCCTCCTCTCCGAGAAGACTACCGCGCCAAGTCAAAAACTAGCAATATTCTAGAGTGTGTGACGTCGCACTCTTTCCACCACGCGCCGGCCGGTCAACGCGCGCCATCTGCAGGGAGCGGAAGCGAGGCGCGTCGGTAGCTCCCGAGAGGAGGTGGGACTCTCTCTCTTCTCCGCGGCGTCTTTACAGGAGCCAAATTGGAGGAAGTGAGGATTAAACGGGAGGGTAGAGGAGGTAACCGAGGCGGCCTCTTCCTCTCGTTGGGGGCTGAAATCCGAGGGAGAGGGCGTCGCATAAGAACGGTGGGCCGGCGATTTTAGCTCTGCACACGCGTACCGGATTTTGCGGAGGGGTGCGTTACGTCCGTCGGCTCCCGTTTTTTTTTGAGCACGAGAACGAGCCGCCTCGCGCGGCTAGTGCTGCGGGCCCGGCTAGCGTCGTTTTTTTGTTTCGTACCACTGCAAAGACCCCTTCTGCTAAAGCCTGTGTGTGGTCTGCTCAACTTCTGCCGTGTTTCTGTGTGGTGTCGTCGTCTGCTTTCCTTTTTGGGGTGCCGCGCGGTCTGCTTCTCCCGAGGCGTCGTCTGCTACGGCGATGCTACCGCGGCGTGTTGCCGTAGTGTGCCGGCGGCTCACGACGCGTAGGACCTGCGCTACCGAAGGCGCCGCTCACCGGTAGCCCGGCGCACTGCCCAACTAGTGCCTGCTTACTACCCTGTGGATTATCGTTTCACAACGGAGTTTTTCTTTTGCTCGTCGTCTGCTACGACTGCTCCCAAGCGTCGTCTGCTTCTTCTCGGCTGGCTTCTATCCGACTCGGATTTGGTGCCGCCACGGTGGATGTGATTTTGTGATCGTGGATTATTACTTGGCTTTCTTTTGCTGGAACGTGCGCGAGCGATGCGATTACTACTATCCCTCGCGGCTACTCGATGCCCGGGCGCCGCGCGTAGCCGCGTCTGCGACTACCCCGAGAGCCGGAGGCAGTGACGCCCGCAAACATAAATTAGGTCTTGTTCTAAGCCTCCGTTGCGAACATTTAAGAGTAACGGCTCCTTTGTTGTTTATCTTTCTTTCTGAACAAGAAGACCTGAAGGCTGCGGATCCCCCGGCCAGGTCTGCACTACCGCGACCATGGTAGCTAGAAGATCGGAGAGACGGAGGTACGCCGCCACTTGGGAGGAGGCGTCGGAGACGACCGCTGTGGTCGAAGACAGCGCTGTCAGGTGTTCCTCGGCCACGGACTTGCCCGGAGCGACGCCCATGACGGCGTACCACCACCGCCGCCTCGCGTCGTCGGAGCGTACGACGTCGATGGCGTCGACGACGTTACCGTACTGGTGGCAGCAACGACGGCAGCGATTGTCTCGTGGCGACGTCTCGCAGGACCCGGAGTCGTCTCCGAGTGACTCGCCGAGACGGCGATGGAAGAAGCTCGGACCTGGCCGGTCGTCCCACCGACGACTCCACCGAGAAGAAGTCTTTCCCGAAGCGACGTGGCCCCGGACGCGGTCTTGGTGGACGACGACGACCGTGCCTTGTTACCGCAGGACGCGAAGGCCCGACTTCAGCAGCCTGCGGTCGTCGCTCCTGCTTCTGGTTTTACTCTGCGTGCTTCTGCAGCAGCCACTTCTGGTGAGTGTCCACATATTTCACTCTTTCCCGAACATCCGTTTTGGTAGATGTTCGTATTTGTAACATTGGTGTGCAGAGCGCGACCATTTCAGCTATTCTTTCGCGACTAATTAAGTAAACGACTACAGCTCCTAATCAATTCTAAGTGCGCGGGTGGAAAATTTCTGCTCGGCAACGTTGATACGGGTTGATCGGCATTGTACGTGCGACGCAGGTAACCGACGCGGAAAGCCCTGTCAAAATCGGGCTATTTTTTTGCTCTTCCTAAGATGAACGGGGCGCGAATACGGACGGATTCTCCAGATGTAAGATACGCGTTTTTTTTTTTTTTTCCTTTCACCGTTGCGTAAAATACGGAATGTTCACGGGTACACAGGGAAGTTTTTTTTTTCTTTTTTTTTTATGCTGCGGAAAGTAAAGTACCGCAGCCTACGCAAAGTGAACCCGCGCTATAGCGTGGCATCCACTCCACAGGCCTGCTTCGACGTTGTTAAACTTCTTCGGTCGGAGTCGCTGCGCAGCCGCGTTTGTCGAGTCGCTCGTCTTGGAACCCCCCCTATTAGCTGCTTTTCGGTCGATTCTCCGCGCACCGCAGAATGCCGTTTACGGTCTACGCGAGCTACTTTTTTCAGCGGGGCTACACTACCACGTTGGTTTCCGTTCTGCGTTATTCTCTCGAGTCGCCAGTATCGCGAGTGTTTTTTTTTTTTTTGTGTTTACTAGCCACGAATGGCGTGTATATATATACATGTAGCAATTTGGAAAAGATGGGGAAAGAAACGTTTGACCGCGTATCTGCGTACTTCGGTGCAAATGTCGTCGAAAGACGATAGTCTCTACTGCCGGCCTTCTTTCGCGCATAGCCCCGCATTTTCAACGCAGCCTAAGCAATGCTAGAGTGTTTATAGAATAGTGTATCGACGTGTTTTCAAGTAAAAGAACGCACCGCCTAATACTTACGCGCCGATGTTGCGCATCATGTGTGCGTAATACTTGCATTTTGATCGACAACGTTCACAAGTATGAACGCAGCCACCAGTTTCAGTACGGCCGGGCATTAAGCGAGTGCTTTAAACTGTGACTCGGTGGCTGAAATTGTTTCGCGTGACTAGATAGACGGACCAAAAGTTCTCCGTTCAAGTATCCCAAGAAAGACTATCGTGTTTAAAAAAAAAAACGTATCATTTATGTCACATTAAACGCGCAGCCGTGGCTCGGTCGGAAAAGGGGAAAAATAATAATAAACGAAATATAAACCGTCGGGGTGTGCGCCGGAAATCGACCGTTTCCAATGTCGTCGGGGCTGCACTGTCCACACACACTTTTTCGGACGAGTCCGGCCGGGTATAGAGCGTCGTTTCCGGTCCCCGTTAGGAGCAGCGCTCTTTTAGCTTCGACTGCCTGCGTTGTCGCTTTCTGGTATAGTAAATCGAAGCGTATGCGAGGGCGTGCCCCTAAGAAGCGACCCGCTCCGAATTTTCTCTCGTCCCGTCGTGGCTTATACGCCGGAAACTACGCGTGTACGTTCCGTGTTACCGAGAAAACCTCCGTCGAGTCGGAGCACGGCCTCGCCCCGATACCCTGTTGGACAAAAAGAAAAGAAAAGAAATGTAAAAAGACATTTTTGTTGCTCTACATGGCCAGTCTGGTTCCTCTAAGTCGGTGATGTGGATGGAATTTAGAAATTTGTATGTTTGGGCTGTTTGGTAGGAATTATTGCTAGGCAGGATAAAACGCACATGACAGGAAGTTATCAATCCACCACAGCGTCAATAATTTATCAATCCACTGCAGCGTCGATAATTATACTGTTGTTTCGGCATGTAAGACCCAATATATTATTGTTATTATTATTATTATTGCTACCATGGCATTCGCAAGAGGACCATATTTAACCGCACCTCGATGTCTAGCAAAGCCTTACGCACTTCTTGATGACGCTCGCAGAATTGAAAGCGTGCGCGTGTTTCCCCCACGTCTTGGAAGGCTATAGTTTCGAGAGTACGCAAGACAACGCTATAGGTTAAGCGCCCCCGCGAAAACAAACCTCCACCGCAACTCCGAGGAGCCCGGAGTCGAGAGCGCAGAACCCGGCCGTCTCTTTTCTGCCCTCCGAGGGTCTCGGAGATAAATGCTCGCGGCTTCTGGCAGGGGCAAGGGACGGACGACTTCTTCGGGGCGTTTTCGGGGGTCTCTATTTTTGAAGTCCTCGGGATGCAGTACGCCGCCGCCACCTAGGCGGCTCGGTTCCTGCCTGCCTTTCGAGAGGACGACAGTCACCCCTCGGGCGTCTCTCGTGGGCCTACCCCGCGAGGAAACAAAAAATATACATAGAAAAGAATGAAATGGGTTTGGAAATAAGTTTGCCGAGGCGGTGGTTCACCCATGCGCTGCCTTCGCCCCCTGCGCCGAGAGCGTTCGGTTCTTCGTGCCTGGGCTTTTTCGAAAGTTGTCGCTGGATGCTGCTGCCGCTTGAGCGACTTTGTCCCGGGTGTCGCGTCGTAAAAGTGCGCGCAGTTCGTGAGTCGTTGATGTAATTTATGTAGGAAGGGAACTCGTCCTAACTATGCGCGGTGTGTCTACTAACTACGGGCGTTCGCATTAACTGTCCGCGCGTAATATGGGAACGGGCGGAAACGATTCCGTTATCTATAACGATGACGAGTTAACCCGTTATGGCACCGGTTACGCCTGTCTCTTCAACATCCGATTGGTTAGGCTTGCCACTAATCCATGGCTAAGAAGTTTCAGCTATAGTGAACAGCTCTTAAATATGGAATTGTGTATTGATTGCCAGTCGTACTTGTAGTTACCGTCTTTTTTTTTTTAATCTCGTCTAGCCCGGCTTTCTTGCAACGAACGAAAGGTGGAAGAACGTTTATAGCTTGGTGGCTTTGGACAGCTCAGTTATTCCCTGCTTGGAATAGATTTATGTCGCGGGTTCGATTTTCTGTCACTTTTTTTTTTTCATGAGCTCCGAGGGTAGTGCGTTGAAGGAGCCGGTCGGCACATTGTGCTGCAGGATTAATTAGAATCCGCGATTTCTTCGCCCAACCGACGGACGGCTTTCTTTTAGGTATCGGGATATCCCGTATTTTTGAACGAGGCATGGCCGTCTTACATCTGTATGCATCATTCCTTCATTTAGCTATCGTATGTACTCGCAGTCTTCGAAGAGACCGTCGAAGTTGCACTCGTGAAAATGTTTTGACGCACCTTATAGCCGAGCGGAGACTACGTTGACACGACTCGCACACTTAAAAGGCCGAACCAAAAGTCAACAGAAGACGCATATCGAGCCAAAGAAAAATGTGGATGCGCGTCGTATGTTTCGCAACACGCGGCCTCGAATCAGACTTCTGAACCTAATAGAATGCCTACAAGCTTGGTAAGCGTAATTCAGTTGCAAAAAAAAAAAAAAGGGGGGGGGGTGTCTTCATTCGCCTGGTTGTGCGTCTATAGCCTTTAGTTAGGGGCTTGTAAAGTAGCCGCAAACGTCAGGATATATCTTTTTTTCTATAGAACACTCCATAGACTTCAGTTTGTTCTATTCATTCAGAAGAGCACGCATGCAAAATGCGTAACCATAATGATTTGCGGTGACTTCCCGCGTTGCACCTATTGTTGTGGCGTTTTCGTGTATTTATTTATCTATTTATTTTTCGTGGTAGACGTAATATGCCGTAACCACTTCGGGTAGGCAGGCGTAACTTCGTTAGGGCATGGCGGTCGTACAGACGTCGTATGTTGAACGTATACACGGCCGTAACGTATAGTCGCGTATACATCGTCGTGTCCGGGGTCGACCGTGGGCGAACGGCTTCGCCGGCGACGGTTTTTCGTGCGGAGGCTTTCTCAAAAACACACAAGCATGCGAATAAGTTCGAAGAAGGTCGTCTCTTCAAGCAAGCCCGTGTGTGGTTCGGCAGTGCTGTAACGAACCGAAAGTTTTTAGCCTTTTGTCCTCCAAATCGCAGCCTGCTTTCATCGTATTTTCGTAGGCTTTTTCGCTCTTGGTTTTTGTATTACTGCGTCGTCTGTAGTGCCTTCCGCTTTAGTCTTGTCTTTACCTTTTCGTCTTCGTTGGGTCTTGGGAGCGCCTTTATCGCGTAGTGCGTGGTCGTGCCGCTTCGCCGCAGCACCGTCGGGTGGGCGTTTTGTTCGGTCGCCGTAGTATAGAATATCTTGCGGTACCGATTGGAGACCATCTGTTCGACCTCATAGCTCGGCATGTTTCTTTCCTTGACCTTTTTCTTTCGTCTATTTTTGCGCGATATTCTGCTTTTTTTGTATTTGATCTTAGAAAAGAATTACGGAATGCCCTGTAGCGGCGCTGTCGTCGCCTTGAAGAAGGCGTTCTCCTTGGCGATCAAGGTTCTTTCCTTCGCATGTAGTATGAGCAAACAGCCAAACCCGCGAACACGTCAGGATATTTCTGTCTTTTTTTTTGTTTACGCAATGCTTCCGGTGTCGTAAAAACTCGACACCGAATACGTTCCGCACTACTATACACCTGTGGAGGGATTGAGAGTCGTTCGCTCGGTTTATGCTTGTTTGCCTGGCTTCTCTATAGACTGCTTTTCGGGCACCCTCGCAGTACCCTGTGGTCTCAGTTCTGTGATATTCTCTGGCATCACGTGCGTCTTGTTGGCCACCGTCTTGTTGGCTATCCTGAGCACTTGTACAATTTCGGTACACTTTTAATTTTCGTACGCTACGTGTAATGCCGTCTGCCTTACTCCAAGCTTTTGTGTATCGTTTGCACACTTCTGCTTTACGTCCGCTGCATGTTTCTTGTCTGCCTTACTCAATCCTGTTTCGTGTAGTTGGCAAATTAGGTACACTTCTGCCTTCTGTATACAGAAGGCAGATGCGTCTGTGATTTAGCTCTATGTGTGTGTGGCGTCTGCTATGCACTCAAGGCTGTGTACCGTCCGCTGTTCAAAGTGACTTCATTTATACACTCTACGCTAAAGTTTCCTTCATGCGAGCATCCTATT